GCCCTATAGTGAAAACCTCTCAAAAAAAAAAAAAAAGCATTTAAAAATACTTACTAATACCTATTTAATGACTGCAGTAAGGTATATAGCCCCAGCAAGGTGCTACTTTATATTTTGTTCACTTTAATCTCTGAGGTTTACACGTAAAGTCAGACATTAGTTTTAAATATGTATATATCAGCTGTGCTTGATGTTTTACGTCTTTAACTTAAGTAAGATCTTAAGTGAATCAGTAAAATGGGGGGGAGGGGAAACGCATGTTTTACACTGTCATTTCTAAAGCATCTTGCACATTCTCATGGTCTTAAACTCGTGTGCATTTACAGAGTTCAGCATTTTCTCTCTCCTCTCCCCTCTCCCCTTTCCCCTTTCCCCTTTCCCCTCTCCCCTCTCCCCTCTCCCCTCTCTTCTTCTTCTCCTTCTTCTTCTTCTTCTTCTCTCTCTCTCTTTCTCTCTCTCTCTCTCTCTCTCTCTCTCTCTCTCTCTCTCTCTCTCTCTCTCTCTCTCTCTCTCTCTCTCTCTCTCTCTCTCTCTCTCTCTCTCTCCCTCCCTCTCTTCCTTTCCCTGTTCCTCTCTCTCTCCCTCTCCCTCTCAAGCTATTGCCATAGGGTATATGTGTTCACCAAAGAAAGACAGAGAGAGGTAAAGTGAAAAATCACCCCCCGGGGGGATGGCCATGGCATAATCCCTTCTTCTCCACTCTCTTCTAGGGATTTGGGGCACACGTGCACATGCACCTGGCATGATTTTCACGCCACCATGTCCAGGACTCAAACCTCAGTCAGCCATGTGGGAATATAGTGCCCTAGCTGCCGATGTACACGCTAGCCCCTAGCATTTTCTCTTTTTATCCAAAGAAGCACTTCTCACTTTAAGTCTTTTGATGATAAAGCCCCATCTTAGAGAACCCTGGAGCAGCACCAATGCCCAGTTTCCCTCTCCTATCCCAGCTCAGAGGTCGCTGCCTCGCTCTGTGCAGCTCACATCCACATTCACTGACTTGCGACTGTGCCCTCTTTTTGGAGGAAGGCTGGGTCTTGGATACCATGTGATGAATTGCACTAGCAGTCCTGGGCTGCCACGGATGGGGTATTGGCCTTGGGTTAAAAGCTAAGATTAAGCAGAGCCTTATCATCACTCCTTGGAGTCCACTGAATACCAGACCCCCATAAAGACAGCAGTCCTTGGTTAAATAAATGAACTCCTAAGTTGAGGACAGATGTGTAAACATGGCCACCCTCTCCCGACTTACTGAGTCTCGGTAGATTTACTTTGGTGGTGAACTTTGTCTGTAGCGTGCAGCTTTCCCCATTGGCCTCTTGGTACACTTTGATCTCCCCCCTGACCTCCCGTGACAGGGCCTTGT